TAAAAATACATTATTAAAATAAAATATAACTATTTTAATTAAACAATTAGACAAAATGAAACACGCCATGCTGRGTAATAAATAACAAAATTATTCGTTTAAGTTTATACACATATAGATKAAAGAAAAAATTAACATGGCGAATATAAATTGTGTTCGATGTCGAAAAAATTTGGTATGAAAAATTTGCTTTGAACTGAACTCAAAACATATATGATGTAATAATTACGAGAAACATTGAAAAAAAAACTTGTTGCGTTTAACGAAAAAACAATAGAACAAGAGTTTACAAATTCCATTATGATAATTAGACATTGTTTTAATCATTATACGGACAAAACACTAACGACAACAAAACAATCGCAATAATAATAATCTGTTTAATTCCATATTTGTTTTTTTTTCTTTGCAGTATTGTTCATATACCTAACCCGCGGAATACGGTTTAACGTACCGCAACATTTAAAAGCCCGTTTTATTCGATTCACCGGTAATGTACGAGTCAAGTGTTATTAAACGGCCCCCTTCTCCACCYACTCTGTAAGGATAAAATATTAAAATATTTTCGGATAKATCACGTTCACCGTCCTACACAAACAATCGTATATTGCAGACCTCTCTACACTAGCATCTTTTCACCCTGCTACATGATATACCGCGCGTCTTCCGACTCTTGTGGATTATAACCATGTCTCATGATGTGGAAACTAGAAAATAAAGACTTGCCTACATGTTGCAGTTTACAAATAAATAAAATATAGTGTAAGATATTATATTGTATACTTATTATGGACCGCGGTGGCGACGGGTTGCAGAATGAGCGTAACATATTTATGCGAYATTGGCACCCTTCCACCCACCACCCCGTRTAATTAATCTCTATACGAAAGGTTGTTATCCGTTGCGCGTCGTGTCGAAGGAAAGTACGAAAAAAAAATTACATAAATTATATAAAAGCTATCCACTCGATCAGAATACTGGGAGGGGGGGGGTTAGACACACACATTATAATGATAACAGCAAGTCTGCGTATATTGACGAGAGCCCGTGCGGCGACCACACACGCCATAACACTCGCACACAAATACAAACACTCTCACACATATACACACAAACACAAGAGTAATGATTTCGTTGATCTTTTAACCCGAACGATGATACACTTATGTTGTACTACTACTACTACTACTACTACTATTAAATCAACTAAAGAGTAATGGTTGTGTGTGTGTGTGTGTGTGTGTAGTCGTCGAGGTTTATTATATTTGATATCTATTGATCGACGGGTGTATTCACGCACGCACAAAAGTTGCGATTGTGAATACCTACTCAATCATTTASACACTCCGCCTCCGCTAGTCAACATGTCATAAGGCGAAACGCTGAATTWTGTTTTTAGAACCGTTCYCTATAAGGGCGCCATCTTAATTTTGTATTTCAAGTACTAACTTAYCCACCTGGATATACGAATTAAAAGTCTACCGATCACATCTACAATCTTAATTCCATATCATAATATGATATATGTGTGACTCGTGATATGTGCAGATCATCGAGAATAGCTGCTGCACTGATTAAATCATATTGATATATGAAAATAGCATATTTGATAGAATATAAGACCAAAACAAATGTTTATCGTGACGGCATATTACAATAACATCGGAGACTAAGGTTTCGGTACTTTGTTCATCGTTAACGTTAAGATAATATTATTGTTGCATGYAACTGCAGTTGTTTTTGATATATAATAAATACTAAAGTGAGTAGCGTGCTTACATTATATCGTTGTTCGAAATGTTAAAAGATTATAATATAGGAATTAAAAACTAATAATTTAAAATTGTTCGTTATTTATAATTGTTAGAATGTAAGTTATTTAATTTGTTTTTTAAGCAAAAATAATAATAACAATTTACAAAATGAAACTCCATGTGACACGGTTTTCTACTACTATATTATTTTGATTAATTTGTATACTATATATATAGGAAAAACACAGATTCAAAAATTTTAGCTCGAAACCTTTTTGCTGTAGGTTAACTATAGATCTGTGAAACGTAAGCGCCATAAAACAAAGCAGGCACATTTTCACTATACCTGTTTCTGGTGTTCCCAAATTACAGGGTTATTTAAATTATAACGCAATCGGCATAACTGGTCATTRAAATGTATAAAAAATTATAACTTTTGTTTTTTAAACATGTTATTCACAATGCTGTAATGAATAATAGTTTAAACATTATAATTGTAGTTAAAATTAAAAATATAACATGGAAATCCAAACACAAAACACGGAAACATTAATTATACTAAATTTAATTACGCGCGTGTACCTATCGAAACTATGTGTGCATAGAAATAGAAGCGATGCATCGCTCAATGTTTCAAATCACTTTGAGTATGAATAACTGTCTGTAAGTCACCAAGGTATTTGTGACGAATGAAATGGACGAAATTTAATATTAAGAGAATTTCCATATTTTGAAATCATGAAGAAGTTTCTAATTGCAGGTTATTAAAAAAAAAAAATGCAATTGCCATAATATAATATACTATATACTCTAGCTACATATTAAAAACTTGAATGTATAATTATATACATATTATGCTGAAAAAAATTATATTATTAGTTAATCCATTTTACAATGATTTTTTTTGTCTTCAATACTACTTATTTGTATACAGTCCAGGTATAATATTTGTTTATAAAATAAAAATATATTTTTTCACTGACTGTTGAAATATCATAAGCGATTGTATAAATACGTATCTTATACAAATATGCACATGAAATGCGCGTATAGAATGGTCTCTCTCCGACGCACTATAGTTATAGGTCATACACTAAAATAAATTAAAGTGATCGAATATGGGTCATCTCGTGGGGTGTATTATAATTAATAATAAATACAGAGTGGTGTCGTAATGCCTAYTTATAATGTCACATTGTATGGTGTATATACCCCTACCCCTCCTATATACTATACACAGTGCATATACAGTATAGTATGGTACATGAATATATGATATATAAAATATAATATTAAAATTGGTAAATGTAAAATATTCGGATGCAAAAACGTTACTGTGGTAGTGTGTGGGGTGTGTTTAATTTTCGAAAATACTCGGTTAACAAGGTTCGTTAATTAATCGCGACAGATATAATCAAATTAGACCCACCAAAATGAATTTCCCTCGAGAAATCACTTGACGATGAAATACGCATGTGTCAATACCTATACCTATACAGTATACATATATTATTTAGTATACATATTATGATATGGTATATATATATATATATATACGTTATTTAATGTTTTTGATACATAATACATAATATAATACACACACTTAACCGTCGCATTAACGATCTACAGCGAATATATAAACATCGTATCAACGGATTCTTTTTAAATTATTCATAATGTTATATTATAGTCTGTAGGGTTTATTCAATATTGTTTGAGGACATTCTTTATCATTGTTTGTTTAGTATATCTATTGTAAGACTTACGACGTATATATATTCAAAATGTATAGGGATATTAACTCGGTAATGCTGCAATAGCTTGGAAATATTATAGAAGAGAAAAACCTTACCGTTACATAAACTTTGTATACTTGTGACTATTATATAGCAGGGAAGGATATATAGTTTATAACGTCTTTTGTTGCATGTATAAAAAAAAGCCCACGGTTGAGTTGTTTCAGGGGAGATTTTTATATTGTTTTTGAGCTATATTTCAAAAGATAATGGCCTTTAAAATCAACAGCTCCGTTAAATTTCATTGTGAATCAGTGTTTAATGTTAGACATTATTTTAATTACATTAATAAATAATATTTAAGTCTGGCAAAACGTACTTAAACGAAAACTTTAAAAGGGTAATATTATTAGAAAATCTTCTCATTTACAACACTTCGACCACTAATTGTTATTAATTTTTAAGACAGTAATTTAGCTTGTTTTACAMAATATACACCTACTTACTAACAAAAAAAAAAAACCATTCGAAAGTAAATGGGCGCCAATCAATACTAAAATACTATGCTATCAGTTCTTGTACTTTAAAATGATATTAAAATTCTTAAGCTGTCCAAAAATGAATACTTAATAGTAATCATATATTTTATCAACAAATGAAATCGCATTGACTTAGTCTAGCCAAACTAACCAATTCAATGGTTATTCTTGCTATCTTAAAAATACTGTTGATCTCATGATCATAATGAAGTTTTCATAAATCAAAGAATTATTAAGTATGAGTAAGATGCAAATTAAAATAAATAAACTATTAAATCTTATTAGTTGAAAATATTATGAAAAGTTAGAAGAGTGGAACACTATTAGAAATGTTCTATTATATGAACTCGAATAATCTATTATTACATTTTTTTCAGAGTAAAAACAACTTACAATAAGGAACAAGTGTACTCTTGTACTGTTTTTAAATTTATATTATAATAAATATACCTAATTTACTCGTAATAATAATAACAACGCCACGACGCAATGCAATATATGATGTCAATTAAAATGCTAATTAAATGTAATATTACAAATTATAATATATAGCATGTATAGTTTAATAACTACTGCACATACTAAGTTTAGATACTGGAATGATGGTAAATTAAATTTAAAAAGTATAAGCAAATATATATTATATGTTTCTGCTTTTATTTATTTTTTATTTTTWATATTATACAATAAGTAAATGAGTGAAATGTTATGGGCAGGTGAATCAATATAATGAGTAGGCATTTTATATTCTGTAGGTTTAAAAACCTGAAAATAAGTGATATTTTTGCTTTAAAGGTTTTATTTTTAAAATGATATCTAATAATTTAATACATTTTATAATCCATTGAAGGATATTTTCTGTATTAATTTTTAATTTTAAATATAGAATATAAACTTGTGTACCTATATATAAGTAATTCCAAAATGCATATACTTTTATTAATTGTAATGTAGTATATCTTTTTATTTACCTCATGTCCAGTGATGTTTCTGTATCGGACCCATTTTCCAAGCTTTGGTCTCCAGTAGTCGATCAGAAATGCTTCGGTGAACTCTTGACCTTGTCCATTGCCAAACCTGCCTTGAGTCTCCACTGACGTGATCACTCTTACCACGTGTAAATTTACTTCAAGCCATTCGGTGGGTTCCCTAGTGACCGGCTCTTTTGGACACCAAGCACCCCCTTCTCTTTCTGTGCGTACCCTGAAACGAAAAATATTAAACTTTACATTTTGCGATCGTTAAAATGTGACCTAGTTTGTATTAAAAAAATAAAAAACAGAGGCTGAAAATGTCAAAAGGATTTCTGCCGTATCGGTAAAAAGTCAACTGCTGACATTATAATCCATTTCATCGTTTTATGACAGCTGAGCTACAAAAAAAAAGAAAAATCCTTCCTCGTTATTATTGGCCTTATTGTTTGGAGCTAAAAGTTGTACGTGACCAACATGTAAATTTCTAAGGGTCAAATTATATGTATACGCACACATATATTTATGTATATTATATAAAAATATTTAATATATATATACCAGTAAAAAACAAATGTATTTCGGTACAAAATGTGTGCGAGCTGAACTTTTCGAAAAACGTGGCAAATTATGAATACTAATTTATTGTTATATTATTACTTTTAAACACGGTGTTAAATCATAAAGCTCACGGGTCTTGGTAAAAATATAACTTTGTGGCATTTGTGCTATAGTTGATTATAATATACAACTGAACTTATACATTTGATTCAAACCTAATTAGTTTACGTGTAATACACCCAATGACCAGACCTAATCGAAAACGTGACTTGTGTCACCATTTTAATAGGTATATTTAGGATCAGTGTCGCGATCAACATTTTGAGGTTCGGTGGAAAAATATTTAAATGGTCCTCGTTCTGTATGACACATATGCGCTAATTCGGTCGTGGCTTCACTCCCTCGTTGGAAACAGGTAATTACCTTTCAAATATGGTTCGATAGTAATTTTGTTTCCATTTAAATTAATCATTTAATCATCAACCATGTATAGGATACAATGAGTTTTGTGGCGAGATGTCTGTCTAACTGATTTTAAATAGGAAATCGATTTCAAACGATGATTTGTTCGTACATAGTTACAAAAAAAAAAAATATTATGGAACGGCACAGCACTCGATAAGGATACCACTGTATAGAGGTACAAAAATTTTTTGGAGGCAATGGTACAGTGTTGTTTAACGTCGAAGTTCAGTACCGAATCACTTAATATATAATATTATGTCGTCCYTAATTATTGGTGTATATTATAATAATTTGTTATGAGTACCTATTGTATGTTATTGTGGTATTATCGTCCGAAACTGATGATAGACATACATATTTTAGCACTATTAATTGCAATTCTGTGTATAGATATATAGAACTTCCTTGAATTACAATAAGCCAGCTGCATAAAAAAAAATGCAAATAATACATACTATCGGATGACATTGAAGTCTGTTCGGACGAAAATCAAACGGCACATGATGACAGACGCAGAGAAAAACTACAAGCGCGTTTTCGCGCGGGCCGAATGGAGACTTGGAAATTACCACGGTTACCGGTTCGCAACTATACGGCGGATACCGTATATAAAATGTGTACCGTGGTCAACGATACTAGTTGACCAATTATATGGTTTAAGCTTCATCATCTAATGTTAACTGCGTGTTTTTTTTTTTTAGGAAAATGGCGACAGACGCTGATTGATTTTCTCCACGTTTTCGATGCGATTCCCATAATGATATACTTTTGAAATTGATCATTAGGAATTATTTTAATATACTCGACAGCGGTTAACCGCATTAATTTTCGAGACGTTACGTCGACTAAGAAAAACGCAATCGACAGCCTTTTTTTCAAGTTCAGACGTGCCGCCGAACAAATCACATGCGCAAAGTGCAGTTGTGCAATGCGTCAACATCAGCTCGTCTAAACGAGTCTATATAATTCAATACGTACAATATTTGCGAACCTCCACACTTTCGGAGGATTTGTCGAGGGCGGTGTGTCAAGTTAAGACACACATCAGCCTCTTATGTTCAATATTATTCACAAGTTTTTCATACTAAGAGCCTTATCAACGGTTAACAGCTAAAGTTTATTTTAGTTGCGCATACAATGTACGCATTAATATTATGCATAAGTTGGTAAAATTAATAAATATTGAAAAATAATCATCCAGTTCTCTTAAATACAGTGTAAAAATATTTTCAAACATGTTTTTTTATACAAAAAAGTGGATATACATAAAAATTTCAAAAACAAGAATCATTATTATAGAAGTGCACTAATAAGTACATGATAGTAATAAAATACCAAATAAATATATAAAAAAATATTAAATTGATATCAAGTTAAATCAATATACTTAGATAATAATTTAAACAATTTTAAATGTTTTATTCGCAGTAGTAAAATATCAATTAGATTATGTGATTCCTCCTTCACGAATACTAGGATAAAAAGTTTTTAGACTGATATATAATTCAAAGAATATACATATATAGATACTATAGTCGTACACCGTATACTATTATACAGTTTAGATAGGATAAGCTAGTAGAAATACATAACAATATGCGATACGCGTAGATATTATATTTAATCGAAAACAACTTTTGCTGTGTTCGCTTGTATAATAAATTGATAAACTTTTACGGAGCGCATTTCGTTAAAATTTTAATATAAATCATTACATACAACTCGTTTCATTCTCCAAGACATATTATGATTATGTTTATGTCACGCTATATCAGATAGAGCAGCTATCATATATTTTTTATAGTATAATACATTATAGTGAATATGATCGCTGCGGGGGAATAACGAAACCAGGTAACTCATGACATAGATATATGTAGAAGCTTACAAGTACAAATTAGTTGATGTATCCACTCAAAATACATTTATTAAAAWAAAATAAAATTTAAGAAACTCGTAGTACAGTTGTATACAATTACTAAAATATAAAATGCAGTGTTATACTGATAAAGAAAACATAAGTATAATTTCGGCAACTATTTCAGATATAGGGTATTTGTTATATTTATGAATTAAAACACGTCGAGCAGATAAATTGATTACTAAAACGTTGTGAGGAAACAACTTTAAGCCATAAGTATAAAAAGCACACACCTTAATCGATAATAAAATGTTGTCTACTTTGGTATTCTTTTCGGTCCCCTTCAATCCATTTACTATTGGCAATACTAAACTCATGTGCGACGCATGCTGAATTCACTGTATTTTTTTTTTTTTACGATAAGTAAAGTCGACTGTTGGAAACTGTAGCACTGAAGAGTAGAAAAAAAATCGAAGCTTTATAAACGCTTAAAGGCGACAACAATCGGTCCGTTCGAAATTAAGTCCTCCCCACCTTACGTCCTCTCACTCAATACCGTACAAAGCCGGGCTTAAGAAAACCGGCCGACCGTAAAGCTGATTTTTAGAGTAGACTTCTTTTTATCCTATATATATATATACATACATGTATTATATATATACGTCTAATACAGAACTGATGGGCCGAAATCCTTTTTCTTTAGTTCCGTTTTGAAAGGCACAACCAAATATAATGGGAAGACGGTGGTGATGGTTGTAACTATACACCTACTAAAGTGAACGCCAAAGAAGGGAATTTTTACCTGTTTTTTTTNCTACTAAAGTGAACGCCAAAGAAGGGAATTTTTATATTCATTTTTTTTTTTTTTTTTTTTTTAATGCTACTGGACCTCCACCTCTTTTAAAAGCCCATCGAATTTTGTTCCATCTGCTCAAACGACTTTTATTTACTGCTTTTAAAGCAATGACCAAATGCTACAAAGGTATATATTATAGTCACAACGTGCATGGGAAAACTGTCTTTTGACAATCGATTATCATCGGGTAACTTACGTGCACACCACTCGTGCACTATGCATACCACCAGGCAACCAGGCTATTATGATAATTTACGACTAGCAACAAATATTATTTTTAACAAACACATACGAAACACAAACCACACAATAATATCATACACCCGCCTTTGCGTTAGATTTAAACGACATAATTTTTTTTTACATCACTGAGGATGCCCATGATCAAGGAACCAATTAAACCCGTCTAGATGACAGCCAAAACGGATCGACGACCATATTTTGTCAGTMACGGTAGTTTTTTTTTTATGTTTTTTTTATAAGCCGTTGGAGACGTCCCCCCAAAAATAATAATAAAAACTTGGATGGCAAATTAACTTGGGCGTTTTTGTTGGCATCGTTTCCGTCATCCGTTGGCAACCCTAAAGAGGCGCTCAATCATACACGTAATCACCACAGAGCAAATATTAAGACAACATTTTTCATTGACAGTAATATCTCACTGACAATATTATTTAGCATAATAAACCAAATCATTTCAAATGAATTGCATTTTGTCTGGGGAAAAATGTGTGCAAATTCAATGAACTACAAATGAAGTAGGTCATTTAAATTATAATGATATTCCAAAACTATATAGGCACCAGATCTATATTTTAGAAACTAATCAGCCAATCATTGAAAAAAAGTAATTGACTAAAAAATTTAAAAAGAATAATTATATATGATATACATTATATAGCACAAACTATATTGTTTTGACCATTGAATGAGAAAACATAAATTTAGGTGTGTAGGTGCTTGTGTCAAGTATTATATACCCAGAAGTCCTATTAAAATAATACTGATGTAAAATAATAATTAAGTTACTGAATCCAATAAATGTTCAATTTATTTAGAACATTTTATTACGTCTACAAAATACTAAAATGAATAATAATTGGTGAAGTTTTAAAAATATTATCTCAAAGTTGTAAGGAAGGTACGATAAAAAGTTTTTAAAGAACCAAAGTCTCSTCTGAAAATTATTTACATTTTTAGTGTTTACGAATGTCACATAATAATATTGGTACTACAATAAACATAATATTAATTAAGTATTATAGTAACGTGAGAAATTGTTAAATAATATATTAATTGAATTAATTATAGTGAATATTAATATTTCATACCATACGGTGAATCAATTATTTTTGATTTCATTTGAATAAAAAAGTATTATCGGTATCGGTATCCATAGTAAATAAAAAAATGTGAGCATAATATATAATGATTTAAATATGATGATAAAATATTTTAATTTATAATTATTTAAACCTTTAGTTTCTTT